GATGGATGGGAGGAGTAGATGAATGGACATATGGGATGGATAGAGAAATAGGATAAGTGTATAGATGGATTTTGTGCTTCACTAAGCTGCAATTATAGACCTCTTTASMTTGRAYGTAATGTYTWCCYATTTCAGACCACGTGTCATTCCCTAGAGTATCATTTTTTKGCTTAACTGTTTTGATTAAATAGACCTCTTTAGCTTGGACGTAATGTTTTCCCATTTCAGACCACGTCATTCCCTAGAGTATTCTTTCTTTGTTCAACGGTTGCACATGAGAAGACACATGWATATGGTTACAATTCAAACAAAGAATCTTATTCTCAAGGGAATGACACGTGGTTTGAAATGAGAAAACATTACACCTGAGCCGAGAAGGTCTATCGCAGAAGAGTGAATTGAAGAACTTGTTTTATAACTGTGTTTTAGTGAGCCAAGCTGGGTAACTGTGTAATGATAACGGTTTTTACAATAAGCCACACATTAAATTTCATTTTATTAGAATTCTTACTAGGAATAAAATCGTCGCTTATAATTTACTCGATAATTTGAAATCTCCATATATATCCATATATATGTGAACAGATATGTGAACATTATTACATCTGGGTGTCCGTGCATGTTGAGTCATATAATTGATATTTTTCCCTTTACTACTGCCGTCAGACTATAGTGGGCAAATTAAAACTACTTTTAATACTGAGTAGAGGTGTTATCGGTAGCCTGTCTTCTCTGTTCTATTTGTTGGCGACATCGTCGAGGTCAGTTTTGCCTCAACTTCTATACTTTTCTTTGGTCCTTCCAAAACATAATATTGTCTTGTTTTCACTATACTATTGGACTAGTGGGCAAATGAAAACTGCTTTTGATGGCTCGTCTAATGCTGAGAAAAGGTGACCTGGGAAGCCTGTCATCTATTTGCTGGCGACATCGCYGAGGTTTTTCCAAGTGCATCTCACAATGTCGTATAATGTACCCTAACACTTCGATAGGCTCTCTGCCTTGGATTCCGAGGYGTCYRTTGCTGATGGCAAGAAGCATTTCGACAAATGCATGAAAGTCCAAGGAGGCGCGCCCGTTTTCACAAGCTGAATGTCGCCTGCTGATGTTGATGTAAAGAATGTCCATGGCTGCTAAAGTATARTTGAATTCTGTGAGCTGGCATCTCCTGGGGAAGAATAGAGAAAATATGCATCATGAGTCAAGGCTTAACATTTCCGTGGAAATATCCTTTCAGCCAACTCGAGATGTAAAGTGAAAGAACTACCTTCTAAACTTGTTGCGCGTGACGTAACAGAARTAGATCTCGAACCTTCTCGCCGCCAACGCTGCGCTCAACACCATATGTCAACGCTAATCACCACCGCAAAGTACAGCAGTAGCGCAGCTCAACAGGGTCGGTAGAAATGTGCTAAGAGCTAAATGGAAAAGTAATGTGATGGACAACTCTCTAAACTTGTTGAGCGCACYATTACAGAAGTAGAGTTTGGTTCTGCCCACCAAGAACGTTGTGCCAAAAATGGTACAGTGTGTTCGGCCGTAAAAGGTAATTGGAGATAAGATGACTGGACATGTTATGTGAAGGAGAATCGTCTGAAACTTTTGCACGCAAGTTTACAAAAGTAGAGTTTAGCTGTACGGTAGTCGCGCGCTACAGTTGCGAAGGGGGATACATGTACACGTTACGATTGAGTTTGAGCTTACAACAGCAAATTTTCAGATCCAATTGATCGGTTTATGGCAATCAATCTTACCTTGCCATCATTCGAAACGACGTAGGACCCAATCTACTGGAAGCTCGCACACCAACAAACCGTCTAAATAACTTAAGACATCTTTCTAAGATCCTCAAGTGGTCAAACTGGGCTGAGCATTTGGGATAGAGCTGCTCTAAGCAACCAAACTGATCTGGGCTTTTGATTAATGTACTTTCAGACCTGCAGAAAATATACAAGATAGATAGTTATAATATTATACTGTTTACCTGTTCAGAAAAATAAAATCCCTTTACTCTGARAAAATGTTTAGACCTTTCCCAAATTTGTTTGAGTGACCATGRAACAACGGTTCTGAGTCAAGGCTGGACTTGATAGAATACAGTGTTAAAGTATGGACACATCAATTCCAACCTTGACTTCAAACCATTGCTCGTGGTAACTCAAGCAAATTCAGAAAAGGTCTTCTTTCTCATGTAAAACTATTGTGTTTGTGTCATCTAACATGGCAGTTGCACATGATGATGCAAAACCTCAATTGAATTATTGCTCAAAGATCTTTACCTTGGATTGAAGAAGTAAGCAAGTTGAATAGTATCCATGATAATAGGGAGCTTAATTTCAATATCAGTAGCGCTAACAAAACACTCTACTTTGCCAGTACTTGTCTCTTCTTCATGATCAATCTTCAGACTTGGACTAGAGTTTACTTCCAAAAGAATCGGCTTCATTTCATCATCTATCAGAATATCAAACCCCAGAATTTGAAAGCACTTCAGCTTAGTTTTCAAATCTTTACTGGAAACTATAATGTCTTCCTCGATTGAGAGATTGGGTATAAAAGCAATGAGTGTTCTGCAAATAATAGCATCTATCCTGGACCATAGCCGTTTTATATCAATCCCTTTTCTTTGAAGTTGGTTGAAAACACAGCTTAGTTTTCGTTTACTGCCCCTATCATGGTCATCGGTTTGGATATAAGTTGAACTATGCTTATTGAGAGAATAGTTCGTCAGGTGCATGTAGCTTCTGTGAATATTCTTTGTAGTGGGAGCTTGGTAACGTTCTGTACAAAAGCGTGCCATTCCTTCTCGACAAAWATATATCTCCAACGGATCAATACTCTTTAAAATTACATAGATTCTTAGATCAAATTTAAGTCTTTCCAAGAGTAGAGGATTTTGGATGTATTTCTGTACAATGCAGGGTTTTGCTAAGAGTGAACTGAAATGGACATCATATGGATTAGTCATTAGGAATATCCCATCTCCTTGGGAACCGAGGTCTGGCTTGATGATATATACCCCATTACTGTTCTGCGACACATATGAAATAAGCTCTGGGTACTCGTTAGGGAGAGTCCATGTCCTTGGGTAGAATGCATATTCTTCTGGGAAGAGTTTTTTCATTCGTTTGAGTTGTCGGGTCAATTCTACCTTGTGAGCAGCTTCTGACATCCCTGGGAAGGAAATATAATAATAATTATAATAATAATAATAATAATAATAATAATAATAATGGGAGGTTCTTATATAGCGCATTTATACAAAGTCTTAATGCGCTCCACACCCATGACCAGTGTAGGACTCCATGGGCTGCTTATCATAAATATAAATTATTTATTTAAAAATAAAACATTTTTACAGCTGAATTCTTTGTGTAAGGTGAGAAATAATTTCTAATTTCATTGAAGACAATTCTTCGTTTTCTGTGAAATAGGAAAATGCACGTATCTTTGYTTATGTTTACAAACAGGCAGAAGAAAAATAGACATAGATGGCAYGGAGCAGAATAATCATGTATGTACATTAATTAACATGAAGATATATATTCACRCATTTTAAGAAAGGTTGTTAGAGAGAAAACATGTACAGGGAATGTCCATTGGGGATTGTATCCAATGTCAATCAATTTTTGCATGTAATAAGCATGACCATAGTTCCATTTACCATCATGTACCACAACCTTTTTTTAGATAAGTGTGGGTGTATGGAGGAGTTTTTATGAACATACGCAAAATTGAAATATGTGGACCAATTTGAAGAACTATTGTTTTGGACTGACTAGTAGCCTCGACTCATACATGTGAAAACGCCACATTAACATGAGGCTTASATCAGTCCAGAACAATAAATTGGTTGCCATATTTTGATTCAGTGTATACTTGGGGTGATGTTAGGAAGGTAGATAAAGGGGTGTATGTCTGAGAGTRATGGGTTAGATTAACAGACAGACAGACAAGAATGCATGTTAAAAGGTATGTTATAACAATTCCTCATATTGATATATAAATAAGAGTACCTGGGAATTTATTRAGTAAAGCATGTTCTGGTAAAGGATCTGGAACATCAAAGGCTCCACCCAACCAGTACAGGTCACACCCTGTRCGTCTGCCTACTGGATACTGAAAGAGTAAAACTTTAATGAAACACTYGGCAATGTCATTGAGCTGCAGGGCTTACATCAAATTGAAATGTAACAGCTAATTTGAATAACTATTGTTCTGGACTGACTGGCCTCATGTTCACGGGGAAACAAAAGCATTTTCACATGTATGAGAGGCTAGTCAGTCCAGAACAATAGTTATTTAAATTGCTCGGCATATTTCGATATGGTTTATATTCACTAGAACATCACCCCCCGCCCCACCACCTAACTCAACTAAACTTAGATTATAAAATAGCTAAGTTCTAACAAAAAGACCCTATGAGGGGGAGGGRTACCATGTTTTCCATTTGAATTTCACATCTACCTATCTCACAATTATTTCGGAACGGTTTTGTGTGTCTTGCCAGAATATTACCCCTATAAACAGGGCCTCACTGTCAGTAATTAAAGAGCAGTCTGTCATTCATTGTTAGTTCATGGTTCTCATGTTACTGTTTTAAAACCATGCTGCTTGTCCAAATTTACCCGTACCAGGGCCTTATCTGAAATACCCATGTTGTAAGGAGAATTTACACTTTCACCCAAAAAGCTCGACAGAGTTTAAAGACCTTAGCAATAAAATATCACACGCTATATTAATTTTTTTTTTGTATATTTTAATATTCTAAAACAAAATTTATTAGCCAACAAATCCACCTGTATTCACCAGAAGCGTAATATTTAAGGCACGGAGTCGTAACTTGCCGTATTCTATATACATTTTTAAATTCAAAGATTAAAAATCTTCTGCCAAATTTTAGAAAGCCTATATATTGTTCTACGGAAATATGATTGATGCAGCTGCAGAAAYAGCGGGGAATATTTTTTTGAAAAATTCAATATTCTGTTTAATATTAATCGTCTAGCACAGTGTTTGTCTAAGTCTGTTTATCGTAGAGTTCTACAACACAGAATAATATCGATGTAAGAAACGTTCATTTGTATACAAGTTTAACAATTCAAAGAGGCTATTGGTTCCCAAGAGACGTGAACAGCTGATGGAACAGTCTAGCAATTAAACTACAATATTAACAAAAAAAACTTTCTTTGTTTTGGCAGTTTGTAATCWATATAATTGAGATTTTTCTGGAACTATATCTCCATAGATACAAAGTTAAAAGCTTAGAACTTGGAAACAAAAAAAATGCATAAAAAATTGTTGATGCGATAGAGATAAGGTTTATTTAAAAAWATTAAAAACCAACTTTGATATTAAAATTTGACTGGATTAGTTTTTTTTCTTGGATTAAATTTCATATCAAGAAGAAAAATCTCTAAATATTGATCGATAAGTTGTTGAATTTTGAACGAGTTTATTAATTTTCTTTATGTAGTTTACATTGAACGTAATTGTTAGAATGTTGATCTAAGTTGTGTTGTAACATAGTCAATATTTGAGATCATGATTTAAAAACTTGCGTCTATTTTAAACGATATTGAAATTGCGTAAAATAAACTAAAAATAACCCGTTTAAAGAAAGAAAATATAATAATTTCTAGGAATATAGAATACCTCTCTCCAGTTAAGTTCTCGAATCGCCAAATTCAAAACATCACCTGAGCTCTTCGCACGAGTCGTATCRATACTTGGATTACGGTTTGTAGTCTTTCCTTTTTGTTTTTTCTTCCTTTTAGGTAGTGCGCCAGTCTTTTCCCTTCTAATCAAGTCCGATACAAGCTTTCTTCTTTCTCTTTTAGGTTTTGATTGCTCTTTAACTAGTCTTTCTTTTGACTGAGTTGAATTTCTTGTAGCAGTAGAGTCCTTAGCAACGGGCTCGTCGCTCTCTCCATCTTCGGTCATTACGAATATTTCAGTTAAAAGACAGCTCAAAACACATCTTTAAAGACATAAAGACCCTTCTTGTATTCGCAGAATAAGATCTCGAAGGTTTAAGAGAGATTATTATTATAGCATACCTGCTTAGGGTATGTATGTTGTGGTTGAATGTCCTGGAGACCGACTTGAGGATGTGATAACACAGGAAGCCCAAAACTAACGCTGTTTCTTCACACTTCGTAAATTCYGTCGCTCTCTAGGTTCTCGTGGATGGGTGCTTGGGAATTATAAAGCATTTTCGGAAATAGCTCTATCTCTTTCYTTTTTCATCTTGCTTTAGTTAATGTCCATCAAAACTATTTATTTTACTTTGTACTTTTATCAGTTATTTTTCCCTTTCCTTCTTTTTTCCTATTTCTTTCTTTGCCCTTTTCTTTTTTTTT